TGCCCCAAGTGGTCCTTTGAAAAATGCACAGAAAGAGAGAGAGTGCGAGAGGGAGAGAGAGTCTAAAAAGCTTGAATTTGCCTTTATGAGAGAGTCTAAAAAGCTTGAATTTACTTCTATTACATAGAAAACATCCATGGATTGATCCATCAAAAATGAATTCCACATTTCTGAGGGGATAGAAGAAGTAAAAGAGCCTAATAATCTTGCGGTTAACCCAAGAAGGAAGAAAAAAGAAGAAGAAAATCCCATAGAGGATGGAATTCAACTCATCTTGATCTATAGTCCATACCTACACCCACATGAATTCTTAGAAATTTGAGAGCCCCATTAAACTCTCTGTGTCTGTCTCTCTCTGGTTTTTGAAGAACTGCAGATAAATAGTAAGCTTGTTGTGGTCCCTTTGCCCCAACAACCCACTTCACCTTCTTATAACCAAATTTGTCCATCAACCGAACATAGAGTACCCATCATTTGAGCTGTTGGGGATGCCCCAAATGGTCCTTTGAAAAAGCACAGAGAGAGAGAGAGAGTATAAAAAGCTTGAATTTACTTTTATTAGAGAGAGAGAAATTTACTTTTATTAGAGACAGAGAGAGAGCCTAAAAAGCTTGAATTTACTTTTATTACATAGAACAGCATCCATGGATTGATCCATCAAAAATGAATTCCACATTTCTGAGTGGACAGAGAAGAAGAAAAAGAGCCTAATAACCAAGAAGGAAAAAAAGAAGAAAAACAAATCCCATATTTGTGGATGGAATTCAACTCACCTTGATCCATATACCCACATGAATTCTTAGGAATTTGAGACTAATCCCATACTTCGAGGATGGAATTCAACCAACCTTGATCCAATATACCCACATGAATTCTTTGAAATTTGTGAGCCCCATTAATCTCTCTCTCTCTCTCTCTCTCTCTCTCTCTGTATCACTTATATCTCACTGGTTTTTGAAGCACTGCAGATAAGTAGTAAACTTGTTGTGGTCCCTTTGCCCCAACAACCCACTTCACCTTCTTATAACCAAATTTCTCTATCAACCCAACATATTTCTTTTGCATCTCCTCCTTCAAAACCAGTTTCTCTAACCAGATAAATCCACCTGGCCTCAAAACCCTATCAATGTCAAAGAGAACAAACTCCACCTTCTCCATTGAATTTGAACGCCCCTGTGCAATTTCTCTCACTACATGGATCAAATCAAAGGTATAATCAAAGAAAGGGAGCCTTTGTCCTGGTACCAAATACAGAGGAAACAAGCCCCTTGCTGCCATGAATTCGCAGAAAGGCGCTCCTAAATTTAGTGAAGAAGTAAGGACTGTCACATCTTTCTCAGCCATTTTAGCAGCAAATCCACCTGAACCAGAACCCAAATCGAGGCCCTAATTTCAAGCTCCCTTTACCCAAAGCTATCACCTCATCAATCGGGAATTCGAACCTATCCTTGGCATCAGCCCACATCTTCTTCTCGGCATTGAGATCGAAGCAATTGGGGCAATCTTTTAGGGTTTTCTTCAGGCAATCGAAGTTTTTGCAGGCGAATCTGCTCCAGCTTATCGAGCTCTCTGGAACCATTTTCCATAGAGATTTCAGAGAAGGGAAAAGACCCAATTTAGGTATTGATCTGGAAAAACATCTCCTTCTTGGTAGTGGCTCGCAGCCTCTGAGCATCAGCTTTTGAGCAAGATCCCAATCATCTGGGCATTGGTGGCCTGGCTTATAATTCATGTACAGAGAGAGAAGATCAATGGAGTTTACGCAGGCATGCCCAACTGCTGAAACCATCTCTGTGATCCCCATTCTCGAGTCCTTACCTAAAGGCAAAGGCTGAGCTTCCATGTAAAGCTTGAGCTCAGAGGGTAAACCAGGAACTGAGAGATCTAGGGTTTCGAACCCAATGAGCTCCTTCTGCATCTGAGCCAGCTTGTGCTGAGAGGAGTTGATTTCAGAGAGGATGAGAGACACTTCATGAGAGATGAGAGAGAAATTCTTCTGGTGGTGGGCGGTAGAGAGAGAAGGGGTTTGATTAGCAGGGAAGGAGAAGGTGTAGAGAGCTAAGAGGTTGGTAAGGAGGAGAGAGAAGAGCATTATGGCGTTAAGAATGGTGGAGTAGATGGTGGTGGCCCTGAATCTAGCAGTGCCATCCCCTATCTTAAGGGAAACAGAGCCCATTGTTAGATAGATAGAGAGAGAGCTAAGTTTCAGGAGGGTTTAGAGAGAGAAGGCTTGGATTGAGTAGCAGGACAGTGATGTAGGGGATCTTTAGAGTGAGAAAGCCCCCTTGTTTTCCCTTTTGGGAGATTGCTTTCTCTGGACTCTGGAGTCAGAGTGGGTTTTGAGTGCAAGCTCTCACTGATACTACAAGTGTTTAGAGTGAGAAAGTTGGCGTGTTTAGAGTGAGAAACTTGAATTTTTCTACGAGTGCTGGAGCTTGGAGGTGAGAGAGAGAATTTAGAGCTTGCAGTGAGAAGGGGCGGGCCATGAGTTAAGATGAGGCCCTCAACGTGGAGCCCTTTAGAGAGAGAAAGAAACAGGACAAAAGAGAGAGAAACATTGCGGGCCCTTTAGGCACATGAGGGCTAGGCTCGGCCACGGCCCATGATGGCCTAGCCCGGGCCTATGATAGCCCAGCCCGGGCCTTGCCCATGGCCACCCTTATAGCTCTTGACCCAATATGTTGCAAAAATATTGGAAAATTATAATGCTAATAGTTTTTGAAATCTATTAGTATATAATACTAATATTTCTACCATCGTTTGGACTTTGGAGTGAGAATAGGACTGTTAGAATGTTGAGAGAGAGAGAGAGAGAGAGTAAAAGAAGTCTTGAGAAGAGCTTTTTACTTGCTGATGAAGGTGCAAGGGATTGACAGGAAAGGTGGGGAACTGCATTAATATCACCTGAGGTTACGTAAACCTAAACAAATATTTCACCGACTCGCGGAAAAATTGACCAAAATGCCACCTTCAACAAAGAGACAGAACGCACTTTAGATAAGTGATTTAAAAAACAATAAGATCAGGAATAATAAAAACCTGTTCGAATCTGAATCGGATATGTAGAAAAAATAGTGAACCGGCCAAAAATCGGTTTGGATCGGTTAATCAGTGTTTTTACTATAGGAAAACATCCTTTTTGCTGTAGCAATATACCATTTTATAGTAGCAAATCGTCGATTCTCTTGTAAACCTAAACGATTACCTATATATTGACAGAATCGGTATGGGTGGACCGATTCTCTAGTCAGACCAGACAATTTCGTGCGGACCGAATATTTTTTAAATCATTGATTTTGATGAACCATTGGATGACATAAGAAGCTAGCTCGAGTCGTGTAGACCAGGCCAAGCATGTGTTTAGATTGGATGGTCACGATGGAGGATGAACCAAATCAAAGGCGTAGATGCATCGGGCACATCGGAGATACAATGTTCCCCATACGAGCTAGTGTCGGGAGTTAGAAAGGGCTTAAGGTTGGTAAGGGACTGGGTCTGGACCAACCCATCCCATGTCCTAGATTTTCAGGGCCTGCCCGGCCAATTGCCACACTTAGAAAGAGGAAGGATATCAATTGTTCTGAGGTGAAAAGTGTCTTTCAAGCATGTTTATAGAGAGCTAATGAGATATCAAGATAAGTTTTATTTCTTTAAGGGTAACTGAAGTTTGTAATTCTTTTTTATATTAATAAAATAGAAGTATGCTTGTCTTTTTTAACTGAAATGATGAATATTAAAGTTTGTAATTTTTTTTTATATTAATAAAATAGAAGTATGATCGTCTCTTTTTAAGTGAAATGATGAATGTTAAGCAATATTTTTCTCTTATTTTTTATTTCCGATAGTTCAATGGGAAAGATCCTCTTACGCAGATTTTGATAGGACTTGAGCTTGAGATCCAAAACTGCGAATTTTATCGCTAAAATATCATTGTCAAAGAAATAAAAATAAATAAATAAATAAAAAGATTATGAGATGAAAAGTGTCATCACCCTCTACTCAATGGATGAAAGGTAATAAAATGGAACCAAAATCGTAGGTCCTTTAGTATGGAGTTGAGAGTGACTGTAGGACCGTGGATTCTCTATGGTTGTGAAGGAATATCTGCATAGGCAACATTGTGAATAATTGAGATTCACCATCTAATTTACTTGTGATTTATGTAGGTGACAACTTTATTAGTATAAATAAAGTTGTGATATTCTACATTATCTATTTTAGTCAAACGATGTAGATTCAATATATCTTTTAAACTAATATAAAAATAAAAAAATAATACATCTTCTATGATAGAGTCACATCTCTAACATCCAAATAAAATACAATGGATAATAATGCGACCTTAGTTCTAAGTAAAGTATGGTTGCAACCTTGTATAAATTTTTCCAACTTCTATTCTCCAAAAAATCAATATTTTATAGCGCTAAAAACCTTCTGATATGGATTGGGAATTAGTCTTGGACAAACTGGTTCTCGATCGAAACCGGCAATTAGTCTAGGTTGGCCCAACTTGCCCAGTTGGCGATCCAGTCAAAGAGCCAAGTGATCTGGATCAGCCGAATCTCCCAAATCCCTGACATTGTATTTTTTATTATTTTCTTGTTCTTTCCTTTTTTATGTTTCTTATTAATCAACTCTTACATCGAAATATGGGTCGGATTGTCAATTTAAATCGACCATTTGTCGATCCTGACTGATTTCCCAAACAATAAGTTCAATTGACCTCCCAGGCTCTAAATCACTTGTGCTAACACCAGGGTTTTAAACCGCATTGGGTGGCCGAAGTAGTCGACCTCGCAAATCGGCTGACTCAGACCGTTTCAATTCCTTTGCCACACCAAAATTTTGAAAAAAACTATTCAATTATTTTTTAAAAAATAGTTGATTTGTGAAAAATGAAGCATATTTTGATGAAATTATCATATACGTCTGAATATGGGAAGTATGTTTCCTGCCAAAGTGTCACACAACCGTTTCATAATTTAAAATACATCAAAATATAAAAATATTTGAGTTTATTAGAAATTAGAGGAAAATATCAACATAAACTTAATCTAAGCCCTTCCAACACAACCTAGAACAAAGAAAGAAATTAATATATATATGTATAAAATATTTCAGGCTTCCCTGAAATTATTGAGGAAAATCCTAAATTAAGTCAACAATTAAAATAATTATAAAATATGATTAAAAAATCAGTTTCTCGTTTTTAAGGATCAAATCTCGGAAGAAATCATTGATTGGAGCTCCAAAAAGTTTTGGACAAAAAGAAAATTTTCCAGGAAAATCCTAATGGAAAAAATTTATATGAGGTTGCAACATTAAAATGTAGAATTACAAATGCACCTCAAAAATCTATCAAACAAGGTTGTTTTAATGTTGAAAAACCCTCTATTTAATCATCTCAACATGGAGATATATGAATATGAAAGAAAAAATATTTTGAGTCCCAGAAATAAAACATCTTGCAACACATTATCAAGACCGTCCATTTTCAAGATTTTCATATGTTTATTGTCCCTCGAGGCATAAACCATCCCTCTAAAGATAGATGTAAGCCCCAGGCATAAACCATCCCTCTAAAGATAGATGTAAGCCCCGGGCATAAACCATCCCTCTAAAGATAGATGTAAGTGATGGTCCATCAAAAAAAAAAAAAGGTAAAATTAATGGCTCAAAATTTTCCTTCTAAAAGATTTCATTTTTATTGTGTTTTATTTACATTAATGATCTCCATGTTAGGGATTGTATATTCCTTAAAAATCAGATTCAAAATTTATCTTAAAAATAGATAATTAAGGGGGTCTGCATTTCTACATATGAGTCTAGGGACTCATAGCAACCGTGTCCTATCTAGCTTAGATCAATCCTAACCCTGTTAAAATCACTAGAGAAACCATTGATTTAAATTCCAAATAATTTCAGATCAAAGAAATTTTTAAATTTTAAATAAATATAAATATTATTAAAAAAAAGCAAATCCTAGTTTGGATCAATGTCAACGTTTCTAGATAAAAATCTCCCAAGAAATTATTGATTTAACTTGTAAAAAGTTTGGATCAATGAAAAATTTGTAGGGAAATCCTAAACTGAGCTGAAAACTAATTAAAAAAATATTTATAAAAAAATATATAGTAGATAGATCCTAACCCCTTCTTGATCAGAATCCTTAACGAACTTATTGATTTAAGGAAAATTGCCCGCATGACTACAGATGCGGCCCAAAAATTGTAAAACATCCATCTTAAAGATGGATGTAAGTAAGTGTTTTATCTAAAAACAATGAAAACTAATGGTCCAAATGTTTTCTTACTAGAATTATTATTTCTAGTTTTAAAATTTAATTATTTTTTATATTCATGATTTCTATGTTAGAGATTACATACTCTCAAAAAT